GGATTGATGCAAAATTATTGCTCTCTGCCCTATGCGCCTGCTGTCGTTATGTTCCTCTCAACGAGCTTCCATCTTGTATCAAATCACGGCCAATAAAACAGGCTGCCTCCCTTTTCCGTTATCCATCTCCCTGCTTCCTGTTAAAGCAGTCAGTGAGTCAGAACACTCCAAACACATATTAAACAGGCATCAGCTTCTCGCAGCGGCCAAATCACGCTCTTCAAATGTTGTTCTTCCAACGGGAGTGCAGGACAACTGAAGAGATGGGATCTGCAACATTAACTTGATTCACGGCTGCGGCAACTGAGTGACACTCCATAAACCTCAGCGGGCCAGCGCAGAGCTAATGTGAGGCGCCTCTCTCCCCCCTCTGCCTCACACGTATACATAGGACATATAGATAATAGACTGACCATATACGACGCTACCACCCACATGGGACAGCATTATGACTTTTACCCATAAACATGAACGATACCAGGAGGGCTCATCCGCGCATGAATTAGTACATATTCATTTTAGGAGATGTACAACTGCGGGAAAAAACAATATGCCACATTGACAACCTACATTGTTTTTAAATTTCAAGGATAAATTATTATGTTACTGTATTTATGCTTGTTTTGTGACTGTAGACCTGCTAAAATATTAAATTAAACTACATATCTTCTCATATATGTATATACTGTATATGCATGTATATATGCATATACTGTATGTTATACTCATATTTTTGTGCATGTACATTCATTTTTTTGTACATTTGCTCCACAGAAACGTGAAAGTGAGACTAACAGAGACTCAATCAATAAATTGCATCTCTAGACACTGCTACCAGCGAGGTCACACATGCACCTTTTAACATGAACGGAGCCGGGAATGCTTATCCATGCATGAATTGTGTGTATTATTATGAGGATATACGAGTTGAGGATATTTCACATGGAAAAGCACAGACTCAATTTTTATGGTTATCCGGCAGAAAAGTGCACCACCATTGAGTTATTGTCCTCCCCGGCTGACCTCGCGGCTCACAGTGTTTCGGCGTAGGCAGTTAGCATGGGCGCATAGCTGTGTAAATGGGTAACCTCTGCTGCTCCAAATGCCAACTTCCTCTTGCTGTTTTCGACTGTACTGTTTCCCCTCTGCACGCCAACTACAGCACTTGTCACTTAAGAAATAAATAGTGGGGTCCCAAGTCGTGGTTTTTATTGCGTCACTATTAAACAAAGGCCTACGCTGAGTGACATTTTCACTCCAAAAGGGTACAAATAGAGACATTTTGTTTTAAGGTCAATTGGCAAACATCTGTTATGGTTTACATATCGAGTCTTCTGCACTTTGCAAAGAGACACACAGAAGAAGAAAGATGACTAATGAATACAAAAATACACTGGAAAAGCACTTGTAGATGCTGTTCAATTCTTTAAAAAATTAACTATGATAAAAATTCTACATTGTTTTATATAATTTACTGAAAATGTCTTCATAATCTCCTTGCAGTTGGTGATCAGTATTTAAAGGGCCAAATATTTTTCGAGTGCTTAAACAAGATTGGTTATGTGTCAGGGTAAATATGTACTTTTATATATTTTTTGGTGATTGTCGTGGTGAACTGGTCTCTGAAGGGTATAAAGAATGGATGGATGTTTGCAAGTTGCTGAAAATGAATACTTTCTGATTTTGAATGTCTTTGCCATGGTCACCGCAGAACCTCGCTCAATGTGTTTTTTCTGTCTCTTTCACGCTTGGACATCACTCTTGGCGATGACTCACTTCTGTAGTTTCAGGTGTTGGGATAACTCACTGTTCACCAACTCACTCAGAATCAATAGAGCATTATTGTCAGCAGCAGCAGACTTATTCTCCCACTATTACTAAAATTCATAAAGATTCATAAATATCCTAGGATTATCAATGAGGCCAAGAAAAAGCATAGTAGAGCTGCAACTAACGATTATTTTGTAATCGATTAATCTATTGATTAATTTTACGGTTAATCGAGTAATCGCTTGGCTGTGAATTGTGTAGAAAGATTTTATTTTTTCATCACAAAAAGCTAAAGTGGCAACACTCGAGGACGTATTGATGGCGTAAACTTAAAGTAAATGTTTGTAACAGGCTCTCTGTGCTAATTCTGCTAATCTGAGACAGACAGATATTCATGAAATTATAAAAACAAAGTCGGTTTTAATCAAAAATACTGTGTGAACCGTGTGAACCAGAAAACGATTAATCGATTACTAAAATAGTTGTCAACTATTTCAATAATCGATTAGTCGTCGATTAATCGATTAGTTGTTTCAGCCCTAAAGCATAGCCATAATCATTTTCAGCAGTAGCAAAATCCCCTCGTGACTTTGCAAAACTGACTCTTTTCAGTCTGAAGTATCCGTCTGTTTTATGTGTACATTGTTTTTTTTCACAACAGCAGTGAGACAGTAGTAATAATAATGATTGAACGGTTTGTGGAGTCACAGTGGTCCCATTTCTTTCGCTTTCTTTCAGTAGGAATGAGGAGCACACAACACAGTATAAATTAACAATAACTGTACTAAAATGAAATGAAATAAAACTCTAACTTTAGCATAATAAAGAATAAAGAATGAAATATCTAGCTTAAGCTTCATGTAGCAGAACAGTCATAATACAAACTCAGCACTGTAGGTTTCAACGTAGTAACACGCTCCTGCAGGTACGTCCATGCTGGGGCAGACAGGGCGGACAGGGATGAAAGAACCGCTCTGGACTGAATATTATTTATTAAAGACAAAATGGACTTCCTCAATTGGGGCACAGTCCTATATAATTGTGGATAACTGTGGTCGCTTGATCATGTTGTTTGTGTGCAACTTCTGTGTAATTTATCTTATGGCCATATTTGTGTCAGAGCAAGTGTGTGACTAATATTTATTTTCCTACATTCAAGTCCTATTATGCCAAACATGCCATTTCCTCCCGTCCTAGATCATGGCTGTAGCTGGCAAAGGCATGTAGTCTTCTTGAAAACAACTGCCCATGAATGTGTCCCTCTCCTTGTCAATGTCTGTTGTTTTGTGACACGTGTGTTCATACATAAATAAATAGTTCAATTCAACAGACTCGCACAAAGGACTGGTGAACTTCTATTGATGTGAAAAGACATTTGCTGTCAGAGTTCATCTTTAGACCCTCCTTAAACCCAAAGTGGCAGTGCTGGCCACTTGCCTTCCTGTTGTTGTAGCACACTTGTTTTAGAACCTGCTGCTCTCTCCTGTTTACGCCGGACGAGGACAGGGCGCTCCTGGGTCACAGCACAACTTTCTGATAGCACTGTCACCCTTGTGAGTACAGGACATTAAATGTCAGCAGGAGATAGGAATATCAATGATTGATGAGTTTGTTTCTTTGTTCTTTTAGATCTCTGTGATCTTGCCTCTGCCTTTGGGGGTAAACCTTGTGCTGCTCAAATGTCAACTTTTAAGAAGTTGAAGTATAAAATGTTTTGAAGTATGTTTTGTTGTGGTTGGAATAAATTGTTTGGCAAAGAATATGTTTAGGAAATGAAAGAGATGCACCGCTTAGACTGGCCGGGCAATAAGCAGGAGAGTGACCACAAGTGGCCAGTGTTTATGCCCAGCTGGTGCTCTGTATAAATGTTGACACCAGCCTCATGTGTGGAACTTATGTATTAGGAGCAGTTGAATGATGCCACTCTGCTCCTGTCGCAGAGTGAAACTAATAACACTGGCAAATCCTTACATTTGTAATTCTGTATTGTATCTGTGTCTTTATTTCATACATGTGACTAACTGAGCCGGGCGCTGTTTAAACAATTGCCTTTCTAACACTGCTCCTATCACCTTGGAAACACCATGGAAACATGTGATCTGAGAGGGCACAGTGAGGCTCAATTAGCACCCGCTGCATCTCGCACGACTCTCCTGCAGCACAACATCTCCATAGTCTGTCTCTTTTTCAGCATTAAGTGACACAAATATGACGAGTGTTCTGTCACCTTTAATATCAACTTACTGTATCGTCTTCTCTTGTTCACACCAGATACTAAAATGGCAAATTAAACTCATTTATCAGGTAGAGTATTAAGGAGAGAGTTCAGATCAGTCCTTTTTATGTTTGAATGCTTTTATGTTGTGACTGGACATTTATTGTTATTTTATTATTTTTAATGATTCCACTCTTAATTGATTTGATCTGTGTTATGCTCTTAGAGCGAATAAATGAAACCGATTGGAAGGATATCTTCCCTTATGGCATCGGGCGTGATTTTCACTCATGAACTTATTAGATACAACTAGATTTTCCACTTTCGCCTGAACTCTGCACAGTTCAAGAGGTTTATCCTTTGTGTCCTATATTTATCCAATCTACTCCCCCCGTTCTCTCTCCCTCTTTCAGGTCCTTACTCGCCCTCACCTGTTCTAGTTTGTGCTCTTCTAATCATTATAATCAAAGTTAAGGAAAATTGACTATCAAAAGTTCTTCTATATTTTAGTCAATCACAATTATGTGCGTCATGTAGCAAGGCTTTAACGTTGTCTGAGATGTATCTGTCTTTATGCTTTTGATCAATGTGAAATAAAGACTGTGATTATCCTGATTCCTGATGCTTGTTCTCTGTGCCTTTGTCCATAGATTTTACTAGACTAGAAAGTTCTTTCATACAAATGACAAGTTATAACCATTTGGGCTTGGGTCTAATAATGCATAATCAGTTTATACCTAATACAGGAAATAATAATGCGTCATACTTATAAAACACTTTCTGACACTTCATGTGACGTTGTTCATTTAATGTGAGTTAAGTGCCTTCTTTAAGGACAGAATGACAGTTTAGCTCTTTACAACCTCAGCTGTCCCACAGTGGCACCTGGTGTTCCCAGTGATCTCCCATCCCAGTTCTAACCATGCCCTGCTCTGCATAGATTCTGAGATCTGATGGGATCACCAGAAGAATTTCTGTTTGAGACACACACTTCAACATGTATTTTGTCTTCCAGGTATTGTTTCCAAATCCTTTGAGTGCCGTCTGAAGGGCCAGGGAGCTGCTTTTGTGGAAACTGATGTGCTGGGTTCCCCTGTGCGGCGAAAATCATCACTGGACTCGAGTCAAGACGACCCAGTGCAACAGGTCATCATTATCCAGGGCTACAGCGAAGGGGAAGTCGCCATTGACCAAGCTCTGGAGGAATCCGCCGCTGCCACTCTGCAGACTTTAGCCATGGCGGGACAAGTAGCCGAGGTGCTGCACATCACAGAAGATGGACAAGTGATTGCATCAGGCCGAGAGGTGGCTTCTGCCGGGGCGCACTTAGCCGGAGGAAGCACCCAGTACGTTGTTTTGGAGTCGGGGGAGGCCGGGGAGCAGCTGGCCGCAGAAGTTGCCATTCGGGGACAAAGTCACGTGGTTTCTGAATCGTCCACCGCTCTGGACGCCCTGCTCAGTGCCGTCACTGAAATGGGACAACAAGAAGAGATGCAAGGTGCTACTGTGGTTCACGATATAATGGTCCCAGAGGCGACGGAAGGACTGGAGGTGGAGGTGAAGCAAGAGCAGGAGGAGGTGCGAATGGTGCAAGGGACGGGGCAGGGGGGCATGCAGGAGGTGATCCAGCTGGCTGCCAGTCAGATGCTTAAAGAAGGACTGACGCAGGTGATTGTCAACAATGAGGGCATGCATTACATCGTGACAGAGCTGGACGACTGCACGCTACAGGTGGAGGAGGGGGTGTACAGGGAGGCCGGGGAGGAGGAGCAGCAGCAGCAGCAGCAGGAGGTGGAGGTGGAGGAGCAGAAGGAGATGGTTGTCTATGTGGACGGGACGCCTCACAATGTGCTACTGGATGGATGAGGGTTTGACCAGATCACTTTGGAGATGAACTTGTTTTGCCTGGTCACTTTACCTGGACCCAGTGCGGTTGTGGAAAGGACAGCTCTGGGGACTTTTTCTGGTTTTAAAAAGGTGTGTGCTTTCTCCACGACGTATCACAACATTGGTAAACAGGCGCTTTAGTCTCCTCTGAGGAATGCAATCGGCCTTTTGGTTTCCAAATACTGTATGTGAAGTGACTACTGGACACTCTTTGACTTGTTGGGGGTTTGACATCTACGAATCAAGTATTTTGGCTCAAAGTGAACCAGACCAACAAGTGTGAACACGTCCCAAGTCTTCCTAATTATTTTGTTTTTTGTTTCTTTGCTTTGATGCCTTTGTTTTCATTTCTGATTTGCTGTGATGCTAAATGATTTGCCTGTCATAAATGTCTAAAACAAATCTTCTGACAAAATTATTTAGTGATTTACATGTTGGGATTTTTTTTTAAAGTTTTTTATTCACATGTTTATTCTTATTTGCTGACAAGTTGTAGTGATTTATCTTTTTTAAACCGCACTAGTTTGTCTAGCTTCCTATTTGTGAACACAATACACTGAGAAGTACATGGATTATCCTTTCTAGCAATAAAAAAAAAATATCTCAATGGTTCTCATCTTTTGAACGTTCCATACATCACAAAAAGAGTAGTAAGAAGCAAGATTACATTTAACTGAATGCATCACATTCATCCATATAAAGTGACGCGATCTGCCTTCAACCATTCAAGATCATAGAAAAAAAGAACATGTCTATTGAAAAAGGCCACCTACTTACATTGTTAAAGTTCCATACTGAGGCTTTGAATAACAATAGCCTTATAGAAAAGTTTTAAAATAATATCTGCCACATAAAGGTTTTTCACCTGCGTCTTGCTCTAAGCCCCCCACAGATTCATATTTGGTCCAATACTCTCCACTATATGCTATTACAGACGCAACAAGTGCATGCATCAGCTGCGAGAGCCCATCATGCTTTCTGATCACTAGCATAGTCATTACCATTATCATTATCGCCATCATGATCCTAATCGTCATCCTCATTCTCTGCCTCCATCAGGCCCATTCTGCTCATTGCCTACAACACTCTCCTTCTTTTTTCCCCTGCCGTATTCAGCACTGGAGGGAGAATCAATATTCATTTAGGCCTCTACACGGCCCGCTTCTCTGATGGAGTGAGTGGGAGAACGCTATGACGGCTACACAACACAATGGCTGACCACTCGAAGCACAGAGAAAGCACTTGGACCAAAAGGCATCAAAAGCGCATCCTCTCCACACATGCAGAGAGAAGGTGGGCAGTGGGGGAAGAGCAGAGGAGGATTACCGATGGATGCAGGGAGATGAGGCCAGAGAAAGAGCAGTTAAATACTAACTGCTCTGTTGGACATATTCAAGCACTCTTGACTTCACACAACACCTGTCTACTTTTTATTCTCACTTTTGTACCTGACGCTCATTGGTCTGTAAGCAGTAGCAGTATAGAAGCATTTAATAAAAAAACTAGGGATTCCTCATTTTAGCTTTTATACCAGTGAGGCAATGGTTCCCCTCTCTTAAATCACAGCCAACTATTGCAATGGATCCAAATCTTTTCAGAACAATTTTGTATGAGTAAAAGTTATCACATTCTTACCATAGACCAGAAGAGCACACACACTTAGAAACAGTCAGGATTTTTGTGAGATTTTTGTTCATCTATTGTCCACCAGTCGCAGTGAGAGGCAAGCATTTTTTTAACTCAGGAAAAGTTTATAGAGGCATCAAAAAAATTGTCCCTCCGAATAGCAGTGGACATGTCCCTATTGTCAGGTCTATAGGTCCAAGTAAAAAGTTATAAAAGTTAGTGAAAGTTAAGCTCTCCACATATACTCTCTTTAGCGTATGTAAAAAGTGTTCATTTTATATTGTATAGTAATCTCCTCTTGACTCTTTAAAAATGACTAATGCTTGTGTCACTATGGTGCGCCGTCCACTTGTCTACATTTGATACATCCAATTTTAAACGTTGAGATCGATGGTCCATCCATGTTCATCCATCTGGTGAGTCTCTTTCTCATAAACTTTTCCGTGTTGCTCTGAATGGCCACATCAGTCTGCATCTCTCCTCTAACATCCTTGTGCATGTCGCCGTGAGTGATTGTGTACTGTATTGTGCAGACCCCGGCCTCCCTCTCCTCCCTATGTATCTCCCTAATCAGCACTGGACGGCTCATTATTAACTGCAGCAGGCCACTCGTGTGACATGGAAGAGGCAGAAATTAGCAGCTGTCAGCCCGTGATGAGTTCATTTCCTGACAGGCCTCTGCTCTGAAGAGTGCTGCTGCAGACGAGCCGACAGCTGATGGAAACCTGCCGCACCGGCCTAATTGGAGAGCCGGAAAAGGGCAGCGTGAGGAGGGGAAGGGGACCCGCAGAAGCACATAAAGGTGAGAGAAGTGGAATACACACAACAACTATTGCTTTGTTTTCAATATAGTACATTCATGGACATTGGTCTCTCCCTATGGGCCAATCCGTATGTGTATAATTGTTGTGTCTTAAAGATGCAGGGGACGTTTTTAGGGACGTTTTATTTTGAGAAAACGTCCCTAAACTCTAAAAGTAGTCAAGTTATCATGTGTTTTCAAATAGTAATGGAACTGAGCGGACCGATAAAAATACACCAATGGGATTCGTTCATCTGCAACGAACCAATGGGATGCGTTTACCCCCTTCACCCTCTTCCTGTTTCTCGCTAGTTGCCACACCTGAGTTATCATATTTTCTAAAACTTAAAGTGGCTGAAAAGAAAACGCCAATTTCACGTCTGCCACCCACTCTCCCTGTTGTGACAAAGAAAAGAAAGTTTGGTCTGTTGGAGAGGCGAGGGGATGGGGGAGTGGTTTCGAGTTGGTGCTACGGCTAAGCTAGCAAAATCTCTTACTGCACCTTTAACAGTTGATTTTCAGATCTGTTTTGGCTATTTCAACGGTTTTGTTAAGTCCTCTGAGATGGCTTCTGTTGTGATTTTGGGCTATACAAGAATAAAGTGAATTGAATTGAATATAGTACATGTAGGAACCCGGTTTAGAACAAATACACTCAGTTTAGGAGGATTTTCCAAAATTTTAGGAAAGAATTGCCCTCTCCAAAAAAACACTGGTCTTGTTTTTGATGAGCATGTATCACCAGAATGATTGACAATCAGGAGGGCTAATAGTTTTGATGACCCACCTGGAAGTAGAAAATCCTCCTATGTACCTATAAGTAAGGAAAGGAAGTTGTGATGATTCAGAAGATTCCATTGTGATCAAAAAGACAGCCTACAGTATGTTCAAACCTATTTATTTATGAATCTATGTTGTTGTTTATTAGATTGGGACAGTACATGTCAATGAACACATCACTCTGGATTGTAAACATGGGCTAATTTCCATCCTTTGTCCCACATTTGCACTCACAAACACACACTCATTCAACCTGAATTATTGCACATGTTTTTAGTGGTACGGGAAACCGGAGTACCCGGAGGAAACCTACGCAGACACGGGGAGAACATGCAAACTCCACTCAGAAAGGCCCTGTTCCAACCGGGATTTGAACCCAGAACACCCAGAGCTGAGAGTGCTATCCACTCAGCCACCGTGCCGCCCTTACGACCTCTTCACGATACTGAGATTCATTGGCTTGCATGTTAAAGTTAAGGCCAAGTTTTTTGTCAAGAAAAATGTTTTGTTTTGCGAGCTTTTTTGTTATAATAAGAAGCATATAAAGAACAGTAGTCAAATCAAGCTGGTCCATAAAGCTCATGACAAACCATTCGTTTTTGTTTCCCAGACGTACAAGTATACGCTCAACCATGGTCCAACACAATTGCGTATAGCACAACTGCTTCGTAACCCTGGAGACAAAACAATCGAAAATAGCATGATGTGGCAGTAATGATTTGATTTTTCACTGTGTGTTTCCAAGGACTGGGAACTTGTTTTGTGAGTCCAGTGTGCTCCTTTGCTCTGCACATTATCCTGCTGTAAGTTGGCCTCTCTCCCAGGGCCACCTCTCATCACTCCTGCAGGGACATCTGAGAGGGACAGCACTTTAGGAACAGCTCTCTCTCTCTCTCTCTCTCTCTCTCTCTCTTGCTCCTTCTCTTCATGCCTTTCCATGAGTATGATAAATATGGCAATTCACTATAGTCGCCATCTATAGAAAACATATCAGCCCCAGGATCATTTTCTTAATGTCTGTGCTATTACTTTGGCTTCCCTTTGGCAGTATTAGCATGCCCGGATGATATGCTCTGCTTGTGTGTGTGTGTCCTCAGGGCAGCAGGTACAATTCTATTAAACCATGACTTGTTTATTTCCTGTCTGTCTCCTTCTACATGTGCCCTGCTGCCAGAAGCTCCAGAGCTGCTGTGTACGTACAGGGCAAGTCTGGTATAGCATCGTGTATACAGGGAGGACTTAATGTTGACTTTGGGTCATTTGTGTTGCGTTAAATCAATAGCTATTATCAAAGAGGTTTGCCATGGCTGCTGTTTCATATTGGATTGGTTTTGAATTGATGCGAGATGAGATGAGATGGGGGAATATTTCTTAAAGATTTTCTTGGTTGAAAAAAGAGGATTTTTTGCACTGCACCTAAATGAGATCTTGTTTAACGATAGCATTACAGTTCAATTATCAGTCAAAAGTCTGCAATTTTGACATTTAGTGATTCAACCCCCAGAGTAAATGTTCAAAGTTAGGATTTTGACCTGGTCTACGTCTCAAAAGACAAATAATGTTTTGATAATGCTTGGTGTGGATGCTCAGAACCACTGTCAAGAATGAATAAACGTATTAATTCACCTAATTTCTACTCTTTCTAAATTATAAATGTTTCTGTTGTTTATATTAAAACAATACAGTAATAATGTTGTCTTTTTGTTGCTGTAAATCAACACTTACAGTATTTCTGAATCATGGAATTCAATTATGATTCATCTCCTCTGTG